ACCAGAACACAGACTGAGACAGAAGAGTAAGGAGCTTCTATAAGACATGAAGTTCATTCCCCTGTGCCAGGCAGGTAGAGCAGAGGACACCTGAGCACACCTTGGACACGGGCCTGTCCTCCTGGTGTGGGAAGTGGGTGGCAGGGCACGGACAAGGGGCCTCTCCATGACTTCTCCCAGAGGCCCCTTTTGATGTCAAGCGTTTCTAAGTTTATTTTAGCTGAATCTGCGCACATGGGTATGGCTTGTATGAGCTACTAAAACATGATGCAGAGGCTCCATTTTGACTATGGAACACAATAAAAGAGGTCTCACGTGTGAGGCTGAAAATCTCAGCGAACTCTACCCCAGCCTTTACTGCTGAGCTCCCCAAAAGGCACAGGGGCTAGTGGTGGGGTGAAAGATAGTGGGCAAAATTTGGGGTGCCTGGGTTGCTTCGATTTGTCCTTGAGGGGTGGTGCTAGCAACAGGGGGCAACAGGGAGCAGCGTCTGGCCTTTCTCCACAGAACACTGGGTTCTGCCACTGCCTGGTCATACCTCTGAGAGTTTGGCTTGGTCCCATTGATTTATTCCTAATAAAACTTGGGTCCAGTGGAGGAGAGAGAATAATTAAATTTTTCAATAGGCACAAAAAATATTGCATTTCATTGTCTTATATCTAAAAAGTCATTAACCAAAAACACTGCACAGCCACTTGATATAAATAATTGCCCAATATTTACCACTTAAGATGATTTTCGATCTCCTGGTAAGTGGCCTGTCTGACTTTTTGCTCAAAGAGCGCTTCCTTCATCTGTCTTGTTTTTGAAATCTCATTGCCTTGGTCCAACACTGAGAGTAAGAGCAAACAGCAATTAGAACAGTAATCAAATCAGTACCCTGCACTAAGAGAAAAACACATTTCCAATGACAAAACATAGCAATCAACCGAGTTTTATTGTTACTACTCATAAATAGTAAATGTGCAAGCATTAATTCTTTCATATTCTACTCAGGAGCTGATTTATGAAGGATGGTTACCTTCTCTTAACTGTTTAATCTTCAGTCTTCCTGGTTCTTGGTTTAAAACAGTTGCCACAGCAAATGGATTTGATAAATTTACTGGAAACCTCAAGTTCTGATACTCAATTTCCTGGAGCCAAATCAGGAGGGAAAACTGGTTATTTTACCTCTTTGTCATAGCTTCCCTCATGCTTAGTGTAAAGCTCATTTTACCTTGAGTTGTGGAGGCTTTGCCTTTACTGGAAGTTGATGAAAATTTACACGTGACATTGCCTTTTCGGGAGGAATGTCTACTTTTTTAGAAAGGGTAGTTAATCTTTCAAATTCTTTTGGTCTATAATTTAAAATAGATTAAATTAGTATACATTTCCAAAACACAAGATGCCTATTTTTATGTTCCTGCTGATAATACCATGACTTACAGCCATTAATTACTATAAATAAACTGAAAATCAATCTGTGCACTAAAACAGTGGTCTATTAAACTAAATGCGAAGTCAATATACCAGAGTATAACCATATGTGTGTGTATACATAAATCTATCTATCTATATATATATAGATAGATATATATAGTCTACCAGTGGATGTTTTTCCTCATATTTTCAAATAATGTAGTAAGTAGAAAACCTGACATGCTGAAAAATGCTCTGACAGTTTAGCATGATTCAATTCTAGGCCGTTGATTTTTAATAGCTAAATTTACTACATTTAAAAAAATCCTATAGTGATTTATTTCCCTAGTAAAATAATAATTGATTGTGCTTGCTGTTTGAAACAAGGTCTCCTAAAAAAGGGTTTTAGATGCAGTTTGAGGTCTCTTCTATACATAAACGCAACTGTCCTTGGACACAAGTAGGCATAGACAGAGCTGCTGCATACTTGCCATACTTCTCTAGCGTGAGATGTACTAGAACTGCAGGCTGGGAAGACAGCCATGTCTTGAGACAGTCCTTGAAAACATGAACAGTACAGCAAATAAAGTGCTAAGCTCCAGCTGGGTACCAAAATATAAATATCTAGGGTCAAAATTTTAAACAACACATCAATAGTCATCAGTGAAAAAGAGGTATAGAAAATCCCTTTTCTCTGTATTTCCTCTCTCGGCAGAGCAAACCACTATCAATCGCGCTGGGGTCTCAAAGTGTATTTTGTGAAACTGTATCACTTACTTTAAGTAGAAGAAAGGAAGACTTGGATTTTGGGTAAAGTTTTGTGAATAAACACAAATAGTTCAAAGTGGACATACGTTAAGCCTGTGTTGGGATAGCAGGTTCCAGTAAAGACACATTCGTATGGTTGCGAGTTGAACTCTGAGATCCAGAGCTGCACCTTTATTTGTGCAGTCCCATACTGAAAGGGGGTGAACTTAACAGTCACATTCACCTTTCCGTTAGCCGGAATTATTCCTGAGAGGAGAGAAATGAGAAAACATGGTACTTTCTCTTCTTGCCAAATCTAGTCAAACAGGTTGTCACACATAGAGACATTCTTCCCGTGATAAGCACAAAGTTTCTTATTTTTCTCTGAGCTTTTCATTAAATACATGCGAAGCAATTTTTGCATTTACACTGATCTTATATACCAATTACCACACCAATTCTTTATAATACTTATCTGATTGTGCTTGTAGATAAATAAATATATCTCAATCAGCATTAGTGAATCAGAAACAAATTCCCAGAACTTCGTTACATTCATTCCCAAATGAATTGCTGTAAGTAACAAGGAGAAGCTTAGAGCAAATAGGAAAGTTTACGTCCAAGTAACGCAGCTCCCTATATTTTCATGCAGTTAGAGTCTCTCCTTTTAAATCTTTAGGATCAACTACGGTCCTTTCCAAAGTCAAATATCACACTGTGCCTTACTCCTGCTTTGTATGTCTGGTGCTATTGGGGCTTGGAATATAACACATCTCAACAAACATGAGTAAGAAAATAAAAAGGAGGGAGGAGCGATCAACTGCCTAAGTATGAGAGGAGCTAATGTTCTGACTTCCACTGAAGGCTCTTTGGTTTGCTTTCTAGATGACTCCTTCCACCCTGCATCTGGTCTCCTCACTGTCCTGCTGAGGCCTTGTGGCTCTCCCTCCCACCTAAGCCCTCTGTGCGTCTTGGACTACTCTCGTCCTTGCTCTCTAAGCTCAAGCATACAGACATTTCATTCAATCTTCCAGGTCTTCCCTGAGTTCTCACTGTGGGCCAAGCATCATTTTAGACACTTGAGATACATCTAGTGACAAACAAGAGAAAGTCCCAGATCACACTGAGCTTACATTTTCAGCTCAGGAAACAAAAGGAACCAAACAAGTGAATGTAAAATATCAAGTCATGTAGGGCAAGGAGAACATGATGTGCCATTTAAGACAGATGACAGAAGGGGGATGTTGGAGCCAACATCTGAAGGAAAAGAAAGGTCTGTGCTCTACGCCTCCAAGGCTGACTGAGCTCCTGCTCCCCAGGGACTTTCTCCACCTCTTCTTTTAGTTTCCTCATCCCACTCTCTGAACGACTCTGTACTGATGCCTTGCCCTAGAGTTGAATGTTAAATTTTACTGAAACAGGTGCACCGGCTCATTACCATGTTCCCAGATCCATAATGTGCTGAAGAAGTGAATGAACCTAACCTTCAGAACATATGGCAACCTACATAGTACATGAAACTCCTCCTGACATTTCACCCACAGGAAACTCACTCTCCTAAACATCTGTCAATCCATTTCTGCTCATGTACTACTTGCCTTTCAAAGTGTGCAACCTCCTGAATAGATTGTAAGTCCTTAATGCAGACACAAGGGCCCAGAGCTCTTTTATTTTTCCAGGATCCCCAGCACAAAACCAATTCAAAATTTGTGAATTTCCTGAACCCACATGTCAGTCTTTAAATGCAGACTGTAGATCCTAAAGTCTATAGCAGGAGAGAATGAAACAGCAGACAAGCCCAGTTCTTCTGGTCAACCTAAGACCGGCTGGATAGAATCTTCATCATGTGCTGGAGTTTAATACCTTGACTACCCACTAGGTCAAATATACTGTTTGGACCTGCAATTCACTGGTGGGCTTTAGACTAGGAACATTCTATTGCTTCTGCTCCAGTTCATTAACTTTAAAAAAAAAAAAATAAGAACAAGCTCTGGAGCAAGGATTAATGTTTGCCTTGACCTTGCTGATTTATTTTTAAGTGCTCCATGTCCAGACCTAATATATAAAGCACACTGGAAGTGTAGCCTAGGTAACTGGAGTACTCTGCATTTTCCATTAACAAGGATGCCAGTTAACAAAGCTGGTTGGCAGAATTTGGTTGGGGCCGATTGTCAAATGTTAATAGCCATAAAGTGTGGGCCAAGCATCACAGCTATCGCTTGGCAAAAAGTAGTAGTGGGTGAAAGGAGAGTAGGCTTAATGCTTGAAAGTGAGAAAGGCACCCCCAAAATTACTAGATATTTAGAAAAACCCCAAGTCATGATTTATGGTTTCATTCTAATTTCATCAGAGGCTAATTTCAGATGAATACCTTTAACATAACTAGAGATAATGTTAATTCAAAGGGCAGGGCGGTGGTGAGGGAAATACAAGAGAAAGAAACTAAAGGCTAATAAGCCCTACTTCATCAATAAAAGGGGTATTTGGAAGAAAGTGTAACAACATTGAAAGCTGCTATAAGAATAAATCAAGTCACCAGAAAGCCTTGATTACAAATATATGGACAGTAACTGAAAAGAGATGGAAAAATCAAAGTGCACTATTTGTTATGGCAGTAAGGTCTGTGGGCACTTTTAAAATTCTTTATTTTTAACACATCCATAAACTGTTATTACAGTATTGTTACAATTTTTTTAAGGATTTATTTATTTTATGCATAGAAGGGGTGTGGGCCAGAGGTGTGTGGGAGGAGAGGATTCACCAGAGACAGAGTGGAGAGCAGAACAGGCAGATGTACTGAAATATAATGCTGAGGGGAGCTGCAGGTGAGACAGGGGAGGTCTGCTGTGCCATGTGGGTCAGCTCCCTGGCTACAGAAGTGACAATGCTGAGATTTAACCCTTATACCACCCAGGAGGCCCCTATTGTTAACAATTTTTAAGTGTCTTTTTCTTCAAAAGTCTCAGAAAGTACAGCTTGTTCTCCCTAAATTGCCATACAGCCATGAACCCACGTGCTTGTGGTGTTAGTTTTGGTCTTCATCTCCAGAGATTTAGAGTTTCTTTCACTAGCTGTGTGACTATAGGTAAACTTAATCTGGACAAACTTCGGTTGGGAATTTAACAGATATGTGGTCTGAAGTCACCCATGAGCAAGCTGCTGACAAATTGAACAGTGTTTTTTATTTACTAGATAACAGGAGAGGCCTTCAAGTGCCCCATCTGACTCACCACAGTGAGTCGCAAGATGTCTACAGGGAGAGTTGGGGAGAGTGGTCAGCCAACACCACTGCCAAGGTGAGGCCCGAGGGACCGCCCAGATGGACTCACACCCCTGCCCAGCCTCACTCTGTGACTCAGCTCTGTTACTTTATCTCTAATTCAGTTTTCTCATCTGTAAAAAGGGATAAGGCTTGTAGGATAGAATAATGTACAGGGGATGATGCTTGACCCATAGCATGAGGCCTAACTGACACTTTAAACTAGTAATCATGTCCTGTGATTGAACTTTTCATCCAGATGTCAGGAAAGAAAATATTTCTTGGAAAAACAGACACTTGGCCCATTTGAGTTCCTTACAAGGAAGAGAGGACTGGCTCACGAACCCGGGTCACTGGGCTGAGCTTCCCAAAGCAGCAGGTCTCCCCTTTTGTGCCGCAGAAGGGCCAGATGCAGGCGAAACTATAGGGTGGAAGGCAAGCACTGGCCGGCCTCTGAGAAGGCTGATTCTTTTTATTAACAGTTTTTTTTTTTTTTCTGGTAGCAACATTGGTTTATAACATGCATATGGCTTCAGGTATATGTCATTAGAAATCAACATCTGCATGCTGTGTTATGTTCACCAATGAAAGTCTGCTATGTTATGTTCACCAATGAAAGTCCAATTCAGCCTCCACCATGCAATGTACCCCTATTTCTGCCCTATGCAAGTGCTCATAATCCTCTTCAACTCGGTCTCCTACTCTCCTTCCCTTGCTCACACCCTCCAGACATACTGGGCTGCTGCTGCTTTGCCTCAGAATTTGGCCATGCCAAGTCTGTTCAAACTTAACACCAATGAACTGGCAGCCTCATCTGCTCAAAATCCTCATCACCAGCTCTAACCCAGCTGGCATCTCCCTATCTATGGGTCTAAGCTGACTTTTCCTCAGCCGTGCTTTCCTGACTGACCACTTGGGTGCATCACCATATAACATCTTCCCTCAAGACCACTTCTACTCTGAGCAACATTCTTCTTGGTGTGCTGTTTCTCTCCCCCACACACTAGAATGTCAGTCACATCAGAGTTGGGGGACATTTGTCTTGTTCTCTGAGTACTCTAGTGCTGGTCACAGTGCCGGTGATGGCAGAGGCGGAGGACCTAGCTCTGGAAGGGGTTTCTGCATGTTCTTGTGGGGCCACGGGAAGGGTGAGAACCATATTGACAGACTCATCAGCACTTCTGGTGAAAGACAGTGAAATAAAACTATTTTAACTTGAGTGTCCTCCTGCAGAAACTCACCAATAAGGAAAAACACACCCAATGAAAGAGAAGAACCATCTTTTTAACAAATAAGAGAAATGACTGCCATCCGCCAAAGCACAACAAAGCAGCATATCCACCACATCCGGGAAAAGGAAGTAAGCAGTGTTCTGTAAGCTGAGAGGCCGTGGATATCTCCAAAAGTAAGCGTCACGGCTGAAAAAAAATGTTTCAACTACTCTTTGATAAAAGAGGCAAATTGTGGGAGTATGACTGAGGCTTTGGAGAAGTGGGGATGAAAAAAAAAAAAGAGAGATCCAATGCTACAGAAGAGCTGAAAAGAAGTAACTGCCAGAACACTTATTTCATCTTAGACCCAGGACCTACTCTGGAAGGTGGCTGGAGGTGACATCGTGGGGGTGGGTCAGGGGGAGGAGGATGGGTGGCTGCCTAATGGCACAGCACAGAAGACTGAGACCCTTATGAGTCACCAGCCCTTGAGGGCACAGAGCATGCAAGGAGATGCCCCCCCACCACGGTGTCAAGCAGACTGTTCCAGCTCTGCCCTCGGGAAACTCCCCTAAATGATCCATGCCTCAGACTCCTAATTTGAAAAGTAGACTTAATAATAGAATCTATTCATAAGAGTTGTTGGAGGTGGCCTTCCCTGGTGGCGCAGCGGGTTAAAGCACAGCACTGAGAAGCTAAAGCCACTTCTGCATGAGTTCGATCCCCGCCTGCCCTGGAGATGACCACATGGCGTGGCAGACCTCTCCTGACCCGCCCGCTGCTCCCCTCAGCAGTGT